ACACACACACACGCATTCTCTAATTCTTTCTGCTAAAGCAGCCTGGGGGCCTCAGAACCCTAAAATCAATGAACACATTTAGCCCCAGATCCTAGTTTCTAAATGCCATTGGCCGGTAAATGGACTCATGACTCCTTGGAGAAATGGCGGATTCTATTTTTTTTTTAATTTTATTTATTTTTGAGAGAGAGGGAGAGACAGCATGAGCAGGGGAGGGTCAGAGAGAGAGGGAGACAGAATCTGAAAAAGGCTCCAGGCTCTGAGCTGGCTGTCAGCACAGGGCCCGATGCGGGGCTCAAACCCATGAACCGTGAGATCATGACCTGAGCCGAAGTCAGACGCTTAACCGACTGAGCCACCCAGGCGCCCCAGAAATGGTGGATTCTAAAACAAAGCCATAGAAAGCATAAGATGAGCCTGAAACATTTGTGCTGAAGAATAAGAAAGCTCACAAAAAATGAAGAAGGAATGTCAAAAGGACACAGAAGCCAGCTGAAAGGCACTCCCGTGACCAAATTAGGAACAATTCGTGTATCAAAATAAGTACTATTAATAATAGATATAACCTATTGAGTAAAATAGGAAATTAACGATGAGGAATGAAATATTTACATGGTTTCAAACTGCCTCCCCCAGAAAATATTACTAATTACAAAGGGAGAAAGAGCACCTTGACCATGGAGAAGCCTGGCAGACATCACCAGAAGCAGTGATCAAAGCAAATGCTGTCGGTAACAGGACAAATCAAAACTGCATGTCCCCAAGACTGTGCAGGGAGAAAGTCGCTGCATCTCCCCTGAGCTCCTGCCAGAAGGCACAATCTGAACCCAATCATGTGAAAGCATCATGCACCCCCAACTGACGGACATTCTACAGGACTCTGGCCTGAAATCCTGAAGCATCAAGGCAACAAGAGTTGAAGAGTATCTGGCCACTCCAGCCTGAAGGAAACCAGAGATGTGGCAACTAAATGCAACCTGTGGATTGAGACTGAGTCCTTTTAGGGGCGCCCTGGTGGCTCAGTGGGTTAAGTGTCTAACTTCAGCTCAAGACATGATATCACAGTTCGTGGGTTCCAGACCCACATCAGGCTCTGTGCTGACAGCTTGGAGCCTGGAGCCTGCTTCAGATTCTGTGTCTCTCGTTCTCTCTGCCCTTCCTCTGCTTATATTCTGTCTGTCTGTCTGTCTGTCTCTCTTTCTCTCTCTTTCTTTCCCTCTAAAATAAACAAACATTAAAAAATTTTTTTAAAGAAACTGATTCCTTTTGCTGTGAAGGATGCTATTTTGACAAGTGGCAGACAGCAGAATCTGAGTGCTAGCTAATGATCATGGAAGAACATTAGTCTCCTGATTTTGATGGTCACAGTGTGGATATGCGGGGAAATGTCCCTGTTTGTATGACACACATATTCATGTATTTGGGGCTGATGGGGCATCATGTCAACAACTTGCTCTCAACGTGTTCAGGAAAAAACGTTGTACTTGTACCTTTTCTATATATTAGAATGTTTTGAAGGTTAAAGGAAAGAAGCGAAAAAGGAAGGGAAGTTCCAGAAATAAAACAAATTACAGGGGGAACCTGGGTAGCTCAATTGGTTAAGCATCCGACGAAAGCTCAGGTCATGATCTCACGGTTCATAGGTTCAAGCCCTCATCGGGCTCTGTGCTGACAGTTCGGAGCTTGGAGCCTGCGTTGCATTCTGTGTCTCCTTCTCTCTCTGCCCCTCCCCCACTCACACTCTGTCTCTGTCTCTCTCAAAAATAAACAAACATTTTAAAAATTACAGGAAACTGAAGCAGAGGAGGGATGGGGAGGGAGAGCTCTCGAGATGTGAATTAGAGGGCATGATGAGGAGCTATCGGCTTCTTTTCGCTGGCAAGCTTTCAGAGCCAAACTGCCCTTCTCCAAGAGTAAGGCACTCATCAGGAGCTACTCGCCCCTGCTCGCACTCAGGTGCACTCTACACGCTGCTGCCAGTGGCTGCAAGCAGCTGCCCTCTGGAAGCCAGGGAGGCTACCGTTCCAGATCCCAAGAGAATTGGCAGCAAGAGACAGATGAAGAGTGAGGGGAGAGGGGAAGGCAGGACCCACCCCCCCTCCAAGGGGAGGCATCACTGCACAAGTGAACTTGTACAGAGGCAGGGAATGGTCTAAATGTGCTTTGAAGACCCCTTGAGGCCCAGGGGTGGAACTGGGTGGGCGTCTGATCAGACATCAATTTGTACACACCCTCTTCTCCTAACAGGTTTCAATTTTCATTTTCAGGATTGGCAGCCCTCCTGGGGCTTCCATGTCAATGTAAACACACTTTAGGAGAGAGTACAAGAGCAAGAGCCAAGACCAAATTTCTATCCTAGCTCTCCTAGCCTCAGTTTCCACATCTATAAAATGGGGGAAACCTCTTGCCCTGTGCCACAGAGTTGGAGAAAGGGATGTCAGATGAAAACACATGGATGTCAGGCTGTTGCACCCTTGCAGAGAAGGAATTGGCCAGTTTTCTTTTTCTATCTTTAGTAGGCAAGTAGAGAGCTCACCTCTCTTTCTTTTCCGCCCATGTCAGGGACTGTTCTGAGGAGTGTGCAGAACAGCGGGCTACCCTGAGTGAACCAGGAGAGACTGGACACCAAAGTCAGATGTCAGAGGCTCTGAGCAACATGTCCTCTACTCAAGCTGGATAAAGGCCTCTGGACATCTGCTCATGGCCTCCCAAATATCACTAAACTTTTTCACTGTCACTCACCTACCACCCCCCCTACCTTCCTCACTTCCTACCTTACCCAGCTTAAATTCCATGATCCATTATTGAAACCAACTTATGTGCCCCCACTCCACTGTCCAAGACCCCACCCAGGTGCCTCTCCTCACACCCAAGCCACCGAGCATGGTAAGGGGAAACTCATGCAAGGACCAAGCTTACTGCATTATCTATGTTGACTCATCTCCAGCAGGTGCTGACCACTGCCCAGCAATCCCCAACAGTCCAGTCCAGCGTATTTGCCTCCCTCCCTCCTTCTGAAAGACCGTTCCATCCCTTCCCATGCCCTTTCCCATCCCTCTCTTCTTTGCCAAAGACCATCTCATTCTTTGAAAAGAAAACAGAAGCAACAAACTGGGGGCTTTCCACCACCAGCCGATCCCTGTCTGGGGCCCCACTCCTCACTCTCTGTTTCTGTGGTTAAACTGCCCCTACTCCAAGAGAAAGGCCAACCCCTATACCTGTGCTCTGAACTTAAGGGCCTCACGCCTGAGTTTTCTTTTTCCCGTAAGTGCCTGTCTACTAGACAACTGAATCAGGCACACACGTTTCTGTATCTCTTATCCTTAAAAAACAACTGCCCACATCCACCTGTAACTCCAGGCCCATTCCCATGTTCCCTGGCACAGCAAGAAGACTTATTTACAGCCCACCCTCCACAATCTTTTCCTATTCTAACTGGACCTCAGTCCCTGACCCAGCATTGAGTCTGCTCTTGTTTAGAACCCCAAAGGCCTCCATGTGGCCAAATGCAATGGTCACTCTCTGTTCTTCCCTTACTTGATCTCTGAGCATTTCCTATAGTCACCCCTTCCTCCTTCCCTTGGCTTCATGGTGCATCTCTGTCTTGAATGTCCATCAGCCTCACTGGGTGTATCTTCTCTGCCTTTTTCTGGCCCTTTCTCCTCTGACTGGCCTCCAAATGTTGAAATGGCCCAGAGCCCTATCTTTGGCCCATTTCTTCTTCCATCCATACTTTAAGCCTATGTGACATCATACTGTAGCTTAAAATAACATCCATATGTGGAAGACTCCCAAATCCCATGTGCCAGATCTCCCTGGAAGTATAAACTCATAAAGTTGCTCTTACTCAACAAGTCTACTGGATGTCCATCTAGTAGACTGACATGTACAAACCTGATATGTGCAAAAGAGAACTTTTGATTTCTTTCTCCCTCTTGTCATCCCCAAGAGTTCTCTACTTTAAGTCTTCCACTATCCACCCAGTTATTCAAGGCAACAAAATAGCCCTTGCTCTTATCTTTTTTATCATTTCCACATGCATTTCATCAGCAGATCCCCTTGCTTCTAGCCCAAAGTGGTCACTTTTCTCCACCTCCACTGCCACCACCCTGGTCCATGCCACAGCATGTCCCCTGAGCACTGAAAACAGCCTCCTAATTTGTCTCTGCTTATGCTATTGATGCCTATAACACATTCTAATCCATATCCCATAGGAAATACTTTTTCTTTACATAAAATTCTCCAAAATGCCTCTATCATCCTTAGGGGAAAAAAAGTCAACCTTGTTTTCCTAATTTACACACCCTATGTGATCTGGCCCACCTCAGCACAGGGCCTGAAGGCTAAATCTTATCCAGTTGACTGATAAAAGTTGCAAGAAGTTCTTTGGATTGTGGACACTTGTTGGTGTGAGTGTGTTCAAACTAGGTTTCTGAGAAGAAGGGCCTGGGAAAGGTTGCAATGCATGTGAAAGGAATGAGGGGAGGAGGGGGAGGGAAGGCACGTCTCTTTATAATCAGATGCCAGCTTGGAGAAGGTCCCACTCCCAAGGGCAGCCTAATTGCCAAGACAGCATTATCAGCAACAGAGCCCATGGGCAATAGAGGACCACATTTCTCCAAAGGCAGAGCCTGGGATCTGCTAGGACACCCCTGGTTGGCTGAGAGGGAGAGGTAGGGCTGGGGGTTATAGAGAGGGAAGAAGAGGAGGAATAGCTGCCATTTTGCAAAACTCAATAGAATGCCTACAGCTGGGGCCAAGCAGCTAAGCCATGGAAGCTGAGCTGGGAATAACGTGCCCTTGGCTGACATGGCTGGGATGGGGAACCTCAGAAGCCCGTGGGCACAGTCCTGCTAATAGGACCTCAACCAGGCTCCTCCTTCCCAAGGCCAAGTGCTCTGTACTCTTCCCTCTTACATCAGTCTATACCACCCAAACAAGAAAGTGCAAACCCCCTCACCCCCTCTGTCCATGGGAAAACACACAGAGGTATGTCTTACTGTTGTCCAAGTGATTGGCCTTAATGATCTTCTCTGAGTAGTCAGAAATACTGGAGCATTCAATCTAGAAAGGGCACAGAACAAAGGAGAAAGGTGTAAAACAGATCACAGCATATCTAACACCAATTTAACCGATGGGGAAGCTGAGCTTAGATGGGTACAGTGACCTGCCCACAGTCATACAGCTATTTTTTCATGCAGCAGATTGAAAACTACAGTGCATCCCTCTCAACTTGCAGGCCAGTGGCTCTTGCATTGAATCTGGCTGCCTTTGCTGTGAGGAGGTGGACTTCCAGTCACTGCTCCATAATGGAGGACATGGTGTCCAACTTTGAAGATTCAGTAGTACTTGGCAGGTCTCCTCCTGGCCAGAGGAATATGGCATGAGGTCGCTTAGCTGCTGTACTCTACCTGCTCACTCCCAACCTCCCTGCTGAACTGGGCAGATTTCAGGATAGGGACCATCAGGAAAATGCCACCTCAGGGCCTCAGGACAAGTCTTGAGATCCATCCTGCCACACACGTCTCACACAAGTCAACTCTTACCCTTTCTTCAGTGTTCACCTTTGAGATGGTTAATTCCTTTTAATCTACAAATCTTTCCAGCCTCCCCAAATCTCCTAAGTAAAGGGCCAAGGTATGTGAGAAATTAGCTGAGCATCAGCTGAGCTGACCTCGTGGGAAGAGCCGGAGATCAAGTCCCCGCCTTGGGCACGTGTCGGGGAATGGCCACGGAATGCTGAAACCAAAGGGGAGGGGACTTGCATAGGAGCACTGAGGGGGTGGCCCACAGCCTCCGTCAAAGCCTTGGGGAAGGATGAGGGCACCCTCAGGGTTGGGAAGGGGTCACTCTGTCCTTTCCTGGGCTACAATCTCACTTCCTGTAGGACTGTATTTCTCTCCAAATCTTTCTCCTTCCTTGCCACGTTGGTATCCATCTGCAAGAGATTGCACGGTTTCGCGGTGAAGAATGAATGTTCTAGAGGCAGGAGGCCTGGATTCACATCTGGCCTTGGCTACTCTCTAACTGTGCCTCAGTTCCCTCATAAGTGAGGAAACAGCCCCTGTTTAACTTGGTCATCGTGAGGATTAAATGAGCCAAAGCATGTCAACAACTGAGAGCACTGACAGCTCCCACGCCCCAGGACCTGGGCAGCTTCACAGTCCTTTCTCTTTTCCTGTCTTCTGCCCCCTGTTTTTTTACCCCCCAGTTCTTCTTTCTCCCTCTCCCTCCTTCTACTTCTCTCCTTTTCCCTCTCTCCCTCTCTCTGGAGAAGAGCAGTGGGGAGAGGCGGAGCCTGGAACAGGAGAGACTGTGAAATGAGCCATCAGGAAAGAGGTCCAATTACATGTGGGAGCTGTTTATAAAAGAGCTGTGATGGCAAGAGATCAGGAGGCAGACAGATTGGGACAGTTGGGATGGTCACCGCAGCTGGAAGGCTCCGGCTGGATGCCTCCTGTCAGCTCCTTAGCTGGAGCTGCTGGCCACTTGGAAGCCAGTGAAGAGCAGTTCTGCCCTTTGCCTCCTCGGCCCTCAGCTACCCGCACCCCAGACCAGGGCAAGGCCTCAGAGACAGGGCTGAGAGAGAAAGCGGGAAGATGGCTAGGTGAATCAAGCCCCACCCCAAGGCTCTGTGATCACAGGAAGTGGAGTCTGTCCCTTGATGGAAAGCCTCCCTCCTGGTGAGCCCAGTGAAGGAAAACTGGAAAGTGAGGAGTGGCAGGACTTGACCTGAGCCCACCTCGTCAGTGAGTGCCTCAGTTCAGTTCATCATGGCTTTTCCAGTCCAGTCTGTGGCAGGGATGCCTTGAGGACAGCCCAGGGTTTCTAGAAGACCCTCTGCAGCCCAGGCACTGTCCAAGTCAGGTGCCAAGGGGGAATGCTGTCCCTGCTGAGAGCCTCAGGGGCCAGCCTCTGAGGCCGAGTGGGTGTGGGTGGAAAGGGGATTTGAAGGTCTCTGGTCAACCTGGGTGCCTGGGGTTGTCAGCACAGGCTGCAGGATGACCAGCTAAACGCACAGAGCACAAAGCCCCACTAAAAACTGCTCAACTCCTTCCGGCCTCTGCAAACAGCTATCTTGTGCACACGCTGCGAGTTTGACTGTAGCCTGTCTTTAATTTGGACCAAGATTAATTTTCATATTCCAGCCTTGGACCCACTGCATTTTTGAAACATCAGCCAGCCACGCAGAGCTCTTCTTTTTCACAGTTTCTCTGCAGGTCCAGACCCTCAGCCTCCCTGTCATCAGGCTGTGTGCAGCTGTGTGGCAGCAGCCCGAGGAAGGCTGGGAAGCTTCCCAGGGGGTCAGCCTCCTTTCTATCTGGAGGGGCTGCAGCAGTCAGAGCAGAAGAATTTAAACCTACCAACTTGCCCTTTATAGAACAAAGGAAGGAGATTGTCTCGTTATTATCCTCTGGGTCCTTATCCTAACTATATTAATATTAAACACTGAGCATTGGTCATATGCCAGGCCCTGTTCTAAGCACTTTACATATGTATTAAACTCAACTTCTTCACAATCACCCCATGCGCAAGGTGTTGTTATTATGACTATTTAATAGATGGGGAAACCTAGGTATAGAAGTGAATTGCCCACAGTCACACATTTCATGAGTGGAAGAGCAGAGATTCAAGGCAAAGTTTATATGTATAATCACATTGCATTGCTTTGCAAGATTATGGCAGGACTCATTTCTCTAAGGTAATGATAACACCAGAATGATTTTCAGAAAGTCAAAAATCCTCTGTAAATGTCAGCATTTGTCAGGACAAGGAGCCAGGAGCAATGCCTGGGTGACAGGGAGCCATGGGAGCTTGCTCCACCTCCTGAGAGTCACACTTTTCTCTACTCTTCTTCAAGAATGTGGCCCCAGAAAGGGATGGACCCGGGTTTGTACTTATAGGAAGGGTAAGAGAAGGTGGAAGGCAAGGGCCGTCTCTACAGAGTCCAACAGGAAGAAGGGAGTGGAATGCTCACCCCAAAAACCTTCTTGGCCCCTGCTTTGGCAGCAAACATGGAAAGGATCCCAGTACCACTCCCAACATCCAGGACCACTTTGTCCTTAAACACATGCTTGTTGTGGTACATGGAGTTCCGGTAGGTGAGTGTCCGCACCTCATCCTTCAGCATTTCCTGTGTGGAAGGAAAGGAAAAGCAATGTCAATGTATTCAAGGCACCTGGGAGTACACCAAGGTCATGGACCCCAGGACTGTCATGCCAAATTTTTCAAGAATCTCAATGCTTGGGGAGCATGCCTGGCTCAGTCGGTAGAGTGTGCAACTCTTGATCTCAGAGTTGGTTCGATCCCCATTTTGGGTGTAGACATTACATAAAGATAAAATCTTTAAAAATGAAACTCTCAAAGATATCATTAACCTGAGCCAAAGGAGAGTATTGTTAAGGCAGCTGGACCAGAGGCTACCTGCACAATTACAAACAACTCCAGCCTTAAAACTCTACCCAAGAAAGACAATTCTGTACTGTAAGAGAAGAAACTCCTGGCCAGCCCTGGGAAGGCTTCCATTTACCAAAGAACAAAAGGAGAGATTAGTGCAATGCAAATTGAGGGATTTAAGTTAAACCTGAAGCAGCATGTTCTGCCACAGTGAAAGAATTGTCATTGAACAGGTTATTGAAGGAGGTTTGTGTTTTGTGGTTTGTGTGTGTGGGCTGCATACTTTTTTGTTTGCTTTTTCCTAAGAACAGAAAACATTTCTTAATCTATCATTATTTAAGTACTTTGTGGTAAAAGAGAAAGTAGGTTACCCTTTACAACTATCTCTAACCTAAGGAGAACGTGATTAATCTGTGTATGATGGTGAGGCAGGGATCTTTGTTCATTCAAGCTATCAGCAAACACTTCTAACTCATAACCAATAATATTGGGATTATAGTGTAATTTTAGTATAACTTGCATATACTACATATTTTATTTTATTTCTTAAGTTTATTTATTTGGGAAGGAAGAGAGTGCCTGGGAAGGGCAGAGAGAGAGAGAGAAAGAGAGAGAGAGAGAATACCAAACAGTATCTGCACCAGCATCATGGAGCTTGACACAGGGTTTGAACTCACTAACCATGAGTTCATGACCTGAGCTGAAACCAAGAGTCAGATACTTAACTGACTGAACTACCCAGGCTCCCCAAAAAGCACATATTTTAAATGCATGGTTAGGTGTAAAAGTTTTGACTCACATATACCTATGTAACAACTACCATAATCAAGATATAGAACATTTTCCTCCCCTTAGAAAGTCCTTGATCCCCCTTGACAGTCAATCCCCACCCCCATCCAGATGACCAATCATCCAACTTCTATCACTAAAACTTCATTCTGCCTTCATATAAATTGAATCATATGGTATGTGCACTTTTGTGTCTGGCTTTCTTTGCTCAACATAAGGTTTCTGAGATTCATTTACTTTAATGCACATATCCAAGGTTTTTTTTTTTTTTCTTGTTCTTGTTGACTAGCATTTCCATCATATGGACATCCATTCACTTGTTGATAAGTATTTGGATTATTGCAAATAAGGCTGGTACAAAATTTCCTGTATAAGTATTTTTGAGGATATATTTTCATTTTCCTTCAATAAATACCTAGAAGTGGGTTTGCTGGTAGGTGCTAAATTTCATAAGAAAGTGCCAAAAAGCTTTCCAAAATAGTTGCTCCAGTTCATGATCCCACCAGCAACGTATGAGCACTCAAGCTGCTTCACATGCCAGTAACTTAGTATTATCACCTTTAAAAATTTTATTCATTCTTGTAGATGTGAACTGGTATCTCAATGTAGTTTTAATTTCCCTGATATCCATTGATTAGGTAAACTTTCATGTGCTTATTGGCTATTCATATAGATCTTCTATGATGTGTCTGAGTCTTTTGTCCACTTTTTTCTTGAGCTATTTGTCTTTTCCTATTGAATTGTAGGAATTTATGTATTCTGGAAGCAAATCTTTTTTCAGTTATACATATTGTGAATATCTTCTTCCAATCTGTGATTTGCTTTTTTGTTTTCTTAATGTCGTCTTTTGAAAAGCAGTTTTTAGCTTTGACAAAGGCCAACTTTTTAGGGTTTTTCAAAAATTTTTTTAAATGTTTATTTATTTTTGAGAGAGAGAGACAGAGCATGAGCAGGGGAGGGACAGAGAGCAAGGGAGACACAATCCAAAGCAGGCTCCAGGCTCTGAGCTGTCAGCACAGAGCCCAACATAGGGCTTTAACCCATGAACCAGGAGATCATGACCTGAGCTGAAGTCAGATGCTCCACCAACTGAGCCACCTAGGCACCCCTCTTTATTTATTTTTTAAATTTTTTAATGTTTTAGATTTTTAAAAAAATTTTAATGATTAGAATTCTTTGTGTCTTGCCTAATCTTCGTATACGCCGAGGTCACAAATATATTCTCCAATGTTTTCTTCCAGAAGTTTTATAGTTATGACTTTTACCTTTAGGTCTGATTCATGTCAAATTAATTTTTGTGTGGTATTAACTAGGGATGTGAGTTCATTTTTTATACAAAATAGATGGTGTAAGCATCATTTGTAGAATAGACTATCATTTTCTCCATTGAATTACCTTGCCATCTTTGTCAAAGATCAATTAACTATAGGGGCGCCTGGGTGGCTTAGTCGGTTAAGCGTCCGACTTTCGCTTGGGTCATTATCTCGCGGTTCGTGGGTTCGAGCCCCGCGTCAGGCTCTGTGCTGACTGCCAGCTCGGAGCCTGGAGCCTGTTTCGGTCTGTGACTCCCTCTCTCTGACCCTCCCCTGCTCACGCTGTCTCTCTCTCTCTCCTAGAAATAAATAAAACATTAAAAAAAAAAAAAGATCAATTAACTATATAATTAACTATATATTTGTGCATTCTTAAATCTGTTCCACTAACACAACAATTCAAAACTAACTCAATTACTGCAGCTTTATATTAACTTTGAAATAAAGTAGTGGGTCACCTGGCTGGCTCAGTCAGTGAAGCATCTGACTTCAGCTCAGGTCATGATCTTGTGGTTACTGAGTTCGAGCTCTGTGTTGGGCTCTGTGCTGACATCTCAGAGACTGGAGCCTGCCTCAGATTCTGTGTCTCCCTCTCTCTGCCCCTCCCCTGCTCACACTCTGTCTCTCTCTCAAAAATAAATAAACATTTAAAATTTTTTAATTAAAAAAAATAAAGTAGTATGAGTCCTAGTTCTTTTACAAGGTTATTCTGGGGTTTTTTAGACCTTACACATTTCCATATACATTTAATTTTTTAATTTTTTAAATTTATTTCTGAGAGAGAGAGAGAGAGAGAGACAGCATGAGCAGGGGAGGGTCAGAGGGAGGGAGACACAGAATCCGAAACAGCCTTCAGGCTCTGAGCTAGCTAGCTCAGAGATGCTGGGGCTCGAACCCACGAACCGTGAGATCATGACCTAAGCCGAAGTCAGACGCTTAACCGACTGAGCCACCCAGGTGCCCCCTCCATATACATTTTAGAATCTGCTTGTTAATTCACAGAACAGCCTCCTGAAATTGATTGGAATTGCATTGAATCTATAGATGAATTTGGAGAGAATTGACAGCAATATTGAGTTTTACAATCCAAGAACACTGATATATCCTTCCATTTATTTAGGTCTTCTTTAATTTCTCTCTGCAATCTTTTATAGATTTGAGAAGTCTTGGATTTCTTTCATTAAATTTTATTCTCAACTACTTTTACTTTATGGTTATATATATGATTTTCTAAAATTTCATTTTCTGATTGTTTTATATCACTCTACATATGACCTTGGATTTTGCAGCCTTTCTCCCTTCACATACTAATTCTAGCATGATTTTTCATAGATTCTTTGTAAAAAAAAATCTTGTCACTTGTGAATGAAGACAATTTTACTTTTTTTCTTATCCATATGTCTTATATTTTTTGTTCTTTCCTTTTGTTTTATTCACTGGCAAGGACTCCCATGCAGTAAAACATTCAACAAAATAGAAGGCAGGCATCCTTTCTTTGTTCCAACAATATATAAATGTCACTGAATATGGTAGCTATGGACTTTCTTTTTAAATGTTTTAAATGTCTTTTTTTTCAGATGAAGAAGTTCTATTTATAATTTGCTAAGAGGTTTTATCATGATTGGCGTTGAATTTTGTCACATGATTTTTTACATTTACTAAAATGATGTGTGACTTTTCTCCTTTATTCAGATAATATGTTGACCTCCATAGACTGATTTCAAATGTTGAACCAATATTTTGTCATAATGTATTATTATTTTTTAAGTATTGCTGGGTTTTATTTACTAATATTCTGTTGCAGATTTTTCTATCTATATTTATGAGAGATGTTAATCTGTAATTTTCTCTTACCTTCTCTGGTAATAAGTTATGCTGACTAAATTATGTCATAAACGTAAGTTAGAAAGTATTCTCTCCTCGTATATTTTCTAAAAAGTTTGTGTGAGGTTGGTATTTTTCTTCTTTAAATATTTGATATATAATTCACCAGTAAACTCATCCAGGCCTAAAGTCATTTTTGTAAGAAGATTCCATTTTTTTTAATGTTTATTTATTTTTGAGAGAGAGAGAGAGCGCATGTGCACAAGCATATGTGCGGGGTCTGGAGGGCAGAGGGAAGAAGGGGGGTGGGGGGGCGAGGGAGAGGGAGAAAGAATCCCAAGCAGGCTCCCAGCTCAGTGCAGATCTGATGAGCGGTCCAATCTCATGAACTGCAAGATCATGACCTGAGCCAAAATCAAGAGTCAGACTCTTAACTGACTGAGCCACCCAGGCTCCCCAGAAGATTAAATTTTTTAATAGTTGGAGTGCCGTTTTAGTTTTCCATACATTCTTACATCAGTTTTGATCAAATGTTTTTCCAATGAATTTATCCATTTCAACTAAGATATCAAATTTGTGGGTATAACATTGTCATAATATTCAAATTACTGATTGAATGTCTAAATTATCTGTTATGATTTCCTTGTCTTAATTTATATTATAATTTGTATTTCATCTGACTTTTTCTTGATCAGTCTAAATAGGGCTTATTGATTTAATTAGTCTTTTCAAAAACTAACTTTTAGCTTTGTTGATTTTCACTATTGTTTTATTTCTACTTCATTGATTTCTGCTCTCATCTTTATTATTT